CAATTCTTATATATAAAACGGTATAAAACTGAGACAAATCAATGGTTTTGGATAAATCTGCTGGGACAGGAGACACAGGGCTCAAAACTGGGACTGTTCTGAGTAAATACAGCCATCTGGTCACTCTGTCCAGGCTCCCAGTGTAACACTATTGCTTTAGTGTTCAACCAGAAACAAAATTTACTCATATACTAGTGGTTGATCGGTAACAAATTGTGCCAAAGTGACATACTGTATATAAAGGTATACAGTTTAACCACCACTTTCTCACCACTTGCTCAGTTTTCTACTTAAATTTCCACATGTAGCCTGTGTGGTATTTCCAGACCACTCTTTTTCTGTTAGCGTTTCTTTGATCAAAGCTAACAGCAGATGAAAAGAAGGAATGCAGAGAAAAAATATGAAACTGTATCATACGTATCACCTCTGTACATTAAAGCTCCAGCACAGTGGGGGTGAAACATGTCTCTCACTTTTGCAACTTTAGGGGCTAATTGCGCTAACTGCACTCTTAGATGTTTCAGCGGCTTATCGGTTTTGATTGTTTTACAAATATTGTGCATGTATCTGCGATATAGTTCTAATCTATGACACCCGTGGATCATTACGTTATAGTTTGGAGACTGGGACCAGACATCATTTTAAACATCATAACAACAAAGAGCTGTGAAGCTGACGGCACCTACTATGAACAGCTGCAGTTTACACTAGCAAGTGTTTTTTTTTTTTTTGGGGGGATTTGCATTAAAATGGCTATGTGACACTAGCCTAATTCATCAGCCGGTTACACTTCGTGGAAACCATCTGACCTCACAGCATTAGAATTTGTTCGTTCGACGGTAGGCGGGTACTTTTTTTTATTTAACCAATTGCTGCTATTTGGTCGTGATGTATGTAATGCACCAAACTCTGTAGGAAGAAGGGCAATAATGTCTTTCCCTTGATAAAATTAACTAAACATTCACTTTGTTTCGGCTTTAAATCCTCGATCTCAGGAATCGTTGCCAACACAGAATGTATGTCTTCGTCTACATCCATCTTGACTGCTTTGTTTACTGTTGTGCTGTACCACAAAAGAGACTCAGACAGGGGCTTGAGTTTGACGTCATGGTTTCACAGCTCTTCACTGATTGGCCGGTGCACGGTCTTCAGCTTCTGGGGTTCTTGCAAACCATCTAGTGTATTCCGATTCCTGACCTGGTCGCTGGAGAGAAATTAAAGTAAGGGTAGGCACTAGGTGGCGCCTGCCTGGCTAATGTGGTGCTGCAGAGAAAATTAAATTAGAGAAAGAGTAAAGGGCATGCACTAGTGGCAGTGAAAACTGGGTTTGATTGGCAATCTGGCTTCTTAAAAATAGGCTATTAAAGATTGCTCAAACATGGATGAATCTCCAAATACAACTTCTGGTGAGTAAATAATAATAAAAGTGCATTAGTCTTACATAGCGCTTTTGCAGACACACCAAGATTACTTTATAATTGGGTGCATTATACATTCACTTTATACTAGGGTGAACAGCTTTTCCAAAATCAAAAACTGGGACTCCTCCGATTTGTGGTGGCACTCGGCTCATTCATGACTAACATGTGAGTCAGTATAGTCACATTTTCTTTGTGTTTTGGTAATTTTTAAACAGCTTTTCTGTATTTTATTGAAACAAATGACATTTTATGCCTCTTTTCACTGTTGGCAGGTATCAGATTTGTCAAAAATTGGGACACCCGGGACATGTCTTGTATAAAACTGTGACAAATCACTGGTTTTGGTTAAATCTGCTGGGACAGGGGACACAGGGCTCAAAACTGGGACTGTCCTGGGTAAATAGGGACTTCTGGTTACCTCTACTCCATACGCGGTGGTGGTAAGATACTGTTTTCACCTCAGCTACCCTGCCTACCTCAGACCACCACAGCACTCACAGACATCACATTCATACTAGGCGATGTGGCTGAAGTGCTTTGTCTAAGAACAGTTTTTACCACTAGCGCCCCACTGTGGCACCTGGTATTCCCAGCGGACTCTTATCTGTGTACTACCCAGGCCCGATCCTGCTTCGCTTCTGAGATGTGACGAGATCGGGCTTTGACAAGGAGGTCTGGCCACACAAACGACGAGGGTAAACAACGATAACACGGTCAAAAAGCTCTGAAAAGTTGATATCCCATAATAGGTCCGCTTCAAAACCTCCAAAAGAGTCTGTTTAGCGCAATACGGAACTTTGAACATACAACGGCAACACACCCACGCACAAACACACCACATTTCATCTTGACAAACCCAGCAGAGCGAACGGCCCTGGAGCTAGCGCAATAGTGCAGAGGGGATCGATGGCGTAAACAGTGTGTACAGTATGGGAATGTGAGGAAAGTGGGTTGGAAATAATGGTGCACTTCTGGCCCTTGCTCTGGTGTAACATCCCTCTGTATCTATTGACCCCGCTGTCTATTTACACTATGGATTTATGCGCCTATTTTTATGAGAAATCGTTGAGGGTGCAGAGCATTTAGCCACCGTCTAGTCTCGTCAATATCTCACTGTTAATAGCGGGTTAGCAGGTAGCCGTTAGCAGTTTGTGCCAGTTAAAGAAGTCTATTAGGGTGGATAAAGAGCGGTAATTGGCTGTACCTGCAACTGTCGTAAGAAAGGGAGTAATAAATAGAGGGAGGAAAACAGACAGAGAGAGAAAGAAAGAGAGCATCGAGTTAGACACTGTATTTGCATGCTATTTTGTCCCATCAGAATTTCAGTTAAAGGTCCTATATTACACTATAAGATTGACTTTTGTGAGTTTTAAGCCATGTTAGAATGCTGTTACTTCCTCAAACATGTTGTCATGAAGTGGTAGTTTTCAAGTTAACAGCTGCATTTTACCTTTAGTTCAGTGGAGATGGGCAATTCCAGTAGTCAGGCTGGTGCCACCTAGTGCCTCCGCAAGATTTAATTTCTCTCCAACAAGTAGGTCAGGAATCAGAATACACTAGACAGTTTGCAAGAACCCCGAAGTGCAAGTTTGGGCACCAGCCAATCAGCAAAGAGCCATACATTCTGTGTTGGCAACGATTCCCGAGATCAAGGATTTAAACCCTGAACAAAGACAACAAAGAACAAAGAGAATGTTTGGTAAATTTTATCAAGGGGAAAGACGTTATTGCCCCTCTTCCTATGGGATATGGAAAAACCTTAATATACCAGCAAATAGCAGTGATTGGTTAAATAAAAAAAAATACCCACTTACTGTCAAGCGAACTAATGAATCCTAATGCTGTGATGTCAGACTGTTTCCACAAAGTGAAACTGGCTGATGAATCAGGCTCCCTCCACCTGCTTGTCTCCATGGAAATGTTTTTATTTTGTGTAGAATGTTCCACAGCATAGATTAAATCTATCTAGACAAGCTGGTTACAGCACACACTACATGACAGTTTAGATCTGTGTCGAGTCGCCCCTATTCACAGAAGGAATTATTGTATTTTTGAGCAATAGAAACACCTGTAATGCATAAATGCCAGATGGATATGTTTAATGAAATACCATGGAACATTTCAGGCAAAGCAAACAGTGCATACTTGCATGTAGTGAAAAGAAAAATACTTTTTATTGTTGATACTCAAGTGCTACTACTACAGAAGCACAATCTGCAAACTGCACCTGAGACGGTCACACATTCCTAATTAAACCTTAAAAAAAAGATCCTGTTTCTGTTGCTACCACAGTAATAATTTATGGTAATTGGGTATAAATACGTGTGATCTTTCTCTATTTTTGAGCCTCTCGTCTTGGGAGTGCAGGCCCTTGTTAACAGTGTGTAGTGTGGCTATGAATCCAGGCTGCTAATGGCTTAAACAGCATATCAGCCATGGTTGGTTTGCTGAGTAGGGCAGGAGCTGATCACTCTGAATTTCAACTTTAATTAGGGACTGGTTCAAAACAGTGCTCCCTGTGGCCCAGGCACATTACCAATACTCCAGTGCTTAAGTCTATTAGTGTTTTACAAAGCCCTTAAGGAAACAAGGTGATCCCAGCAGTCTCATGCTCTGTAGTGTACACTGATGATTAATTTGACTATGATGATTTACAGTGTAGTTCACCAAGAGGAGCTTATTGGTACTTGTGATGGATACAAACAGTCACAGCCTTTCTAAATCAAGGCTTGATCAAGCACAAAGGAGGATCTGGCTGTAAATAATACATGACTGACCGAGCCTCGTATACTCCCCACTGGGACACTGAAGAGGGCGCAGAGGAGTTCAAACACTCGTCCACATCTTCAAACATGGAGCCTTCATCTGGTTTGCAGCCAGATCCTCTGACACTGAGTTTAGCCTCACAAATATCAGGAAGAGATCAGGAACTGTGGATGAGGGGTCCACTTTTCATGACCCAAGTAAAGACATGTATGTGACATTGTGTGTATATAGAGCATCACTGGTATTATTTTGTAATTTTAGAGAGATTGATTTTATAGTGTATAGAGTAAATGATCGAACACCTCCTTGTCCTTCTATAACAGGAGTCTCCAACCTTTTTCCTCTGGTGAGCTACCTTTTCAAAATAAAAACAAGAGAGAGCCACTCATTTTAGCGGTCCCAATAATTGGGTAAATATAATATTAGATGGAGTACAGTTTGATGGCTATAAAACATTTACAGAACTATTATCCATTTATTAGTGCACAAAGATACTCATCACATTTACAATGGTAATAGACAATCAAATGTTTGCTATTCAGCACAATATGATTCAGTAATCCCTTGGTGAGCTACTTTGAAGGGGGTGGAGAGCTACTGGTAGCTCCCGAGCTACAGGTTTGAGACCCTGTTCTATAATATAGGTTAGCGGTTCCCAAAGTGGGGTTTGTGGGACACTGGGAACCTCAGAAGCATTGCAGGGTGGGCCCAAAAGTTGTCCACACAATGAGCAAGAAAGAAAATAGAGTTTTAAATCAACTATAATATATTTGTTTACATTTCTGTTAGTATTAAGTCCATGGGAATGTATTGTTTTAACACATAAATCTAATAAAAAACATTACATATTCTTTTACATTAGAGTAAAACATTATTAGATGGACCGTGTGTGATCTTCATATTGGTAGGGGGATCGTGGCACAACAGACTTTGGAAGTGGCTGATGCTGAAGTTGATCCTTTTGTTTATTGTTGTGCATGTTGTTGTTCTGCTCTTGGGCAAGACACTTCACCTACAAGGGGTCGTAGGTGCAGATTAGCAGTCATACTTCCTTCATTTTACCTCAGAGCAACTGTGGCTATACATCTAGCTTACCCTCACGGAGTTATTACAAATGATGATACAATTATAGCAGATATTATAAAAAGTTATAAGCGTGGTCCAGCCAGTCAGATAGTTATAAAGTCATATTTCTCTCTGAGGGGTATTTCAAAAGTATATCTTGAGGGACATTGTGCTGAGGAATGTGTTACAGAGATTTTTTGGTCATTGTTGAATTTAGTATCGAAGTCTTTTATGCTTTCACTCTCCTGTGATTCAGGCAAAATCCTGCGTAAAACTTACTTCTTATTGCCGTGAATAATAGTTTCCGCTCAGAGTGGTTTTGCCAAGAATGCAAAATGCTAATTCGAGTCTATGTTAACGCCTCTCATTCAAATCCCAGTCCTTTAACTAAAGAGCCAAACAATATTCACTGTCATTTGGACTATGGTAGCAGACGAGTGCAGAGGCAGACGGCTCAGAGTCACGGTGCCTCTACTCTTCGGATGGCGATAAAGATTCTGCCTGTTCCTTCAGCTTCAAGTGTAGTCATGTGTATAATTGCTCTGGGACTGGAAATGCACCGTGTGTGAATATAAAGGAAGGGCCATTTAATAGGAAACACTGTCCAAACAACAGCCCTTCAGTTTGTCTACGTGTCCCATGTCACAGAGGGTGCAGGGGACGAAGCATGGAGGGCGATAAGGGGAATGAGAGAAGGACCCTAAGAAGGACCTATCAGCCCTTCACATAATTGTAACAGCATTAGAACAAGAGCAGGGCTAATTGTGACTTTAGATGATTAAAGCTCTATTACCTGAATTTCCTCTTAGAATCCCCCTGTGGTCTGACATTGCCTTCTCATTAGGCACAACAAAAGTAAGTACTTCCCCAATACTGTAGTGCAGGAGCCCTAAGCCAAATATCTCATTACATTTGTAGATTTTCTTCTCCCATAAATTATTATTATGTTATTGTTATGTCCATTGTCTTCCTTTTTGTAAGACTTTATACAAAAAATATAAAAATAATAATCAAATTTAAAAAAGAATTTCACACAGTAGCTCAGTTGGTAGTGTGCTTATCCATTGATCCAACGATTGGCAGTTCGAATCCCACTCTCGGCATAAACATCATTGGTAGATCCAGCTCCCATTGACACACCAGTGAGGTTGGTGTGTCCTTGGGCAAGACACTTAACCTATCACGCCCTCGTCTGTGTACACTTGTGTATGAATGTGTGTGTAAAGGGTTCCTTGAGTGCCTTGAAAGTGGAAAAGTGCTATATAAAAATGTGAAATTTACACAAACACACACACATCAATGAAGTAGCCTATATATAAACACATATTTTCTTCTCTCATCATGTCTTTTTACAAGGACCACAAAACCAGCAGAAACATCGTAGTATGTGCGTGTCTGAGTGTGACTGGACGAAATGTAAATTGGTCATTGATCGTGTGCTGGACCTGCTGTATTGATCAGCTCAAGGCCAAGGGCAGCTCCATCAGATGTGACCTTTGACCCTCGACCTTGGCCTTAACCCACAGCACTGGCCTCTGACCTGCATTATGTGACCCCTGACTTTGACTGGGTCCCAGGTGTGATCTGAGAGGAAGGTTTTGTACCACACAGAATCAAGTAAAGGCCTAAATCAGTCCTACATTCACAATATAGAACTGATATTGTTTTTTTGAAGATGCAATGTACTAGGATAATATATTTATAATAGAGTACTGTGAAAAAAGCAATGAGATAAATCTGTCATGTTACTGGCAAGCAATGTAGAGCTTCATGTACAAGCGATTTTAATCTTTCTTCATTTATTCTTTATTTGTTAGGGGCCATGTAGAAATGCAGATTTGTACCAGATTTAGCTACTGCTACTGAGCACACTTTAAAAATACACATTTAATTACACTTACATTGTAAGACTAACTTAGTTCATCATTAACATTGTCAGTAAAATACAATAAAAATGTCACCCTTTCCAATACATTACGTTTCCTACAGCCTACAGATTTTTATATTGTTTCTTACAATATAAAAAATCATGGTGTTCAGGTTTTTATAGTACACTGTGCATATCCAAATTATTTTGTCCTTGAGGTGTGGTTGTAATTCTAAGAAAGACCGTAAGAGAGGTATGATCAACTATTTATTTGAAAGATTTAGGCTACATTTTACTAGTATAAGTGAGCAAAGGATCATGTGACTCTGCTTAAGCAAATAATTTTTTAAAGATGGACATATCCAGACACATAATAGAATTTGGACTGAATCATGTTTTTCATCTTTTTTTCATGTTATTTTTCAGAAGAATCTATTTTACAATGCTGCATTACAGGGTGTTTTCTTTTCTTGATCATAATTTAATAAGCCAATCAGTTGTCGGCGGCAAACCAGACACAATCAATCAATAGACCATCAGTGAGGTCAGAGGTCAGAGGTCGTAGAATTAAATGTGAGTAATGGGATCAACCCTGTTTCTCAAACAAGCTTAAGCCCTCCACTTAGGAAATGGATGTTTTGTGGTCATTTATATCGCTTAACAATCAAGATTAATGTATTTGTTTGTACTTCAACTGAGCACCTGAGCCATAAATCTGTATTGTAAATAACTTCAGTGTTGAATATATTTATGGGCAAGTAATCAATTTCATCCCTGTTACGCTTAAAGGGCCCATATTACACTATTTTCTGGTTTATGTTATAATGTTGTTTCCCTATGTGGGACCAATAGTATTAAGCAGACACTGTTAGAAATGCTGTAATAGAATGATAATAGATTGGAAAGCACCACACCCCTATATTTTTTTATTATTTTATATAAGATTTGTATAACGGTAATTTTATTTTTTACATTTAATGTGCACAAGAAACACATTTTTTAGACAGGAGATATGCTGGGGACGCACGCAGGCACGTGAAGGCAACTTGAGGGGGACCTCACAGATCCTAATTGTAAAGTCTGCCTGGATGTGAATAGTGTGACATCTTGTGTTTCAGTTCATATTTCATTAAATGGAAGCAAACATACACTCTCTGAAGCCTCTTTACCCAACCACAAGTGCTACACCTATCAAAAATAAACCTGGAGTTGTGTTTTGTTTCATTCATACATGTTCTCTCAAACTGAAAACACCTTGTGATGTGTCATGTGGTAATACAGGAAGTGTGCGTTTTTAAAGTCCACACACCTTCACTAGAACCATTTGGATAATTTCAACCTTGGAATTGCCAATATCTTCTGAACAAAAGTTAAAAGGTAGCGTGGAACTGAGCATTTGAGTTAATAATAAAGGATTACTCAAACGTGTGAATGAAACAAAACAAAACTCCAGGCATGATTTTGACAAGGTAATAACATTTTTACATGGCTTAAAGCTCACATGTCTCAATTAAAAACACAATGGTGCATTTTCTAATGTAGGACCTTTAAGTAGGATTTACTTCACAAAACCAAAAAGATATGTAGATGTAACACAACACACGACAAAAAGATAAATAGATGTAACACAACACAGGAGTTCACTGCATGTGTTTGCTGTTATAATGACTGAAGCAATTAAGTGAGCTGATCTTTTCAGCAACATCCCCAGCATGGGGGCACAGTCATGATTATTGTTAAGGCAATGTAAGGAAGAACATATTCCACTAATTGTCTTGTTATATATGATTTAGATGTGCTTATGTCTTATAGTGGGAGGTTCAGAGCCCCCTCCCCTCTATGGTTGTTCCACATTGTGTGCTTACTGCCGTTATCAATCTACTGGAGCCCTGAACAAAGACCTGAGTGTTCAAACACCAATTACTCTCTCATCTCCCGAGGCATCAGCGCCGGCCTAATTGGATTTAAATGAACCCCCAAATTTCCCTTTGTTACAGCAAATAATATGCAAGTCTTTTTAATTAAGATCCGATACAAGGCGTGTGGAGGGTCCGCGGTTGCTTTCATGTGCAGCTCTTCAAATACAGGCCGGACCACCGTGATGGACAGGGCCACAGCGGAAACCTGAGGGAGGTGTGTATGTGAGAAGGGGGGTA